CTATTTTTGCCCCTTCTCATGTCAAATCCTAGTTTAATAGTGATTAATGTGATGCTCTTCATAAAAGATGGGCCTCTTTAGTATTTGATGGTGTGTTTAGGTTAAGAGTGTAAGCCAGTCAAGTAGACTCATGAGTTGGCTTGAGTTCGGGCCGTTCGGCTCTATAAATACCTCGTGAGGCAGCTCAACAAGCTAACATGCCAAGCTTGAGATAACCCTAACTCGAATCAATAGCTTGTGACTCATCTTGATATGTTGTTTAGGAGCTTTTACTATTAATCAAGATGCCTTTGGTTTGAGTTTCATGTATGTGATGTGTGTCTGAATTTGTCTTAATTGACCTAAATGTCAAAAAAAGTATTTTTTATTTCTAGAAGACCATTCAATACTCATTATATGCGGAGGCCGGACGCAGAACGCATTCCGAAAAACCAATCAGAATGTGTCACGTTATCGGTACCGAGCCACAGTTCCAAGCAAAGAGGTGACGTGATGCATTCTAATTGGTGTCCGGAAGACGTTCAACATCCGCACATAATAATTAATCATACTATAGATGAGAAACCTATCAAATCTAGAGACACGTCATGATGTTATGCCAATCTAATATTTTTTTTCCTAAAAAAGAGTAATGCAATAGTAATAACTCTACTAAATAATAACAATAATTACGAAGATGGCTCATTTCTTTTATTAATTTATTAATTTTCTTTTTTTTAAGTGATAGCAACTTCCATTACCAAATGACAAAGAAGCAACTTCTTCCAATCAAACCATTTATGGAAATCCACCATTTGTAAGAAATCCGCGGAAGATGAGTCAGCAAAATTTTATTTCCATTTTTTTTTTAATTTTCTGTAGCTTTGGGACTTATTCCTCGTTGGAGGTACCATATGATTTGATTTTAAATCGTTCATGATTTGAACATAAATGAATCAAAATAATTAAAGAAATTGATGTTGAAATTGAACCCTTTAATTTAAGGGCTAAATTTAAAAAATAGTTGTCGGATTATTTGTATATGATAATTTTAATGTCAAAGTATAACATTGCTTTAATTTAATCCCTCGGCCTTATAAAATTGATCCAAAATGATTCTTTTTAAGATTAAATTGAAATCAATTTTATAAATTTACAGACTACGGCTATGTTTGAGAAAGTATTTGGTCTTACTTTTTCGCTGCTTTTTTTAAATTTTTTTGTGCTTTAAAACTTTTTTGAAAACAATAAAAAGGTTAAATAAAATAAAACATAAGCTTTTATTTGAGACAATTTTCTTACTGCTTCTTAAAGCAGCTTTCTAGTGCAAATATTAAATATTTGTATTAGAAAAATATTTTAAGAAGCATTAAAACAATAGTCGTAAATGAGGCATAAGTTGAGATCAATTTTATATTACAATTACAACATGAGAAACTATTTTGAATCAATGTGGGAATTATTTTGAGATGTTTCTCTATATATATTATTGGTTTTATTATATTTAACTTGAATGATTTTCAAATTTATATTTATTAATGATTAAAAAAATTAGAAGATAAAAAATAATGTTAATATTTTTTTAATTTATAAACTCATTTGATTGTTTGTTGATGCGTGAAAATAATATTTATATCTTAAAAACTTTAAAAATATTTGCGGTTTAAAATTAATATTGATCTATAAATATCTATAATTAAATTATGGATTAGAATAAATTCATCATTTTTATTTTTATTTCTATTTTCAACCAACATAATGAGCAAATTAGTTCACTCCTTTTTTCTTTAAAAAGTATTAAATCAAAATATTTAAATAAATGTTTTTATTAATTTTGGATATCTTATACTTATTGCAAAATAAATATAATGATTTAAATATTTATCATAACAAATTTTTAATTTAATTTTTTTTTTTTTTTTGGGAAAAATTTGGGCTTCGCCCGTATATTTAAATATAAAGAGGGTAAACATTTACTCCTAAAGATTACAAAAACTTCCCAACAGACAAGTTGGGACAGCTCATTCGAGCATGCAAAAACCCAGCTCGAACCAGATCAAGCTTACAAAATCATCTATATCAAATAAATTGATACTAAAGAGCAAAAAAACCAAAAACTCCCTAAGACTTTAACACCTGGACTCAGAGTATCAAAAATCTCAAATAAAATATCCCCTTGGTTGCCAGTAGACCTTCCTAAGGGGGCATGCTTGGGAGTGTCATCATTGCCCAGGTGTGTCCAGTGAAGCACAGCAGGCATGAGGAAAGGACCCCTCCTCATAAGAATGCTCGAAAGGCCAGAAACCAGAATCGAAAACATATTGCAAATCCAACAGGGCACCTGCAAGTGAAAAAAGCAAAGAGCAGCCCAGCAGAAATAACAGCATTTAATTATAATAAGAGCTCATATCCTTCCACATTCCCAGCTTGAAATTCACAGCCTTTTTAATGGTAACAGCAGTGGTAGAGCTACTGCTAAATGAATTACCGAATCTCCTCAAATTACGCTCTTTCCAGATATGGTATACACTACAGCAAGCAAGAAGTAAGTTATAATTTTTTGTAGGTTGGATGGTATCAGGATCATCCGAAATCCATTCCATAAGCTGTAGAATGTTAGGCCTAAACAATAGATGCCTAGTAAAAGGAATGAGGCTAATCATAATATCATAAGAATAAGAGCATTCAAAGAAAATATGAGATGAGCTCTCAGAAAAAACATGACAGAGAGAGCAAGTCGTCGGCACAGAAATATTCCGTAACAGCAAGGCATCAGCCGTTTTTAAACCCCCCACAAGAGCCATCCATGTGAAAACTGAGAACCTCAACGCATGTTTATTGTGCCAGATGAGCTTATACCAAGAGCAGATGGGCGATATAGCATTGGGAAAGCCAATCAGAAAGTAAAGAAGTGGAGTTATACATCCTCATGATAATTAAGCAATTAAAAGCATATTGCATAGCCAAAAAAGAATGCAGACCTAATCCACCCAAGTGAATTGGCAAGCAAACCCTGTCCCAAGCCACCATGTGAATCTTTTTAGTCATACCAATATCCCCGGAAAATATAAATCTGGAACTAATCTTTTTGAAATGCTTTAAAACAGTTTTAGGCATAATGCCCCCACGTATCCAGTAAGCAATAGAGTTAATCATTGTGAATTTCAAGAACTGAAGTCTGCTAGCCAAGGATAAAAGATTTGCCTTCCAACCCGATAGTTTTTTGTCTATACTATCAATGAAGGGAAGATAGTCAGCCACTTTCAATCTACTAAAAGAAAGTGGAATGCCAAGATATGATATAGAAGAGGTGACATTTAAAATAGAAAGTGTCTGACAAATACTTTCCTGATTAATCACAGCTTTTGGGAACATAATAGAACACTTATCCAGATTTATCTTTAAACCTGAAACATTTGCAAAAGTGGTTAAAATATCATTGAGGATAATGCAATTTTCTATACTGGCTTCCCCAAAAATAAGAACGTCATCAGCGTATAGAAGGTGAGAGATAGAACAGCTCCCCATCTTAACACCTTTTAAAATCCCATCATCTAAAATAGAGGAGAAAGCATCCATGACTAAACAGAAGAGATATGGGCTAAGAGGACAACCTTGCCTTAACCCTGCAGTGGACGAGAAATAGCCTTCAAGGGACCCATTTAACAGAATAGAGAAGTTGACATCATAGATGCAAGCTTTCACCCAAGAAACAAACATACGAGGAAACCCTTTCTGAACCATTCTATCAATCAAGAATTCTCTTAACACAGTGTCGAAAGCTTTCCTTATATCCAGTTTAGCACAAAAAAACTTCCCACCACTTTTCTTAACAAAATCAATGACTTCTTTAGCGAGGATAATGTTATCAGTGGATATTCTGAATTTTACAAAACCAGATTGGTTAGATCTGATAATTAAAGGCATAATAGGCTTAATCCTATTAGAAAGAGTTTTTGCTATGATTTTGTAAATGGTATTGCACAAGGCTATGGGCCTAAAATCCGCAATCATTTCAGCATTCTTATGTTTAGGAATCAATGCAATAACTGTGGCTTTAACAGAGGTAGGTAAGTATCCTTTGGAGAAAAAGGATTTGACAGCCTTACAAACCATAGGCCCAATCACATGCCACCCAGATTTGTAGAAAAGGAAATTAAAGCCGTCCGGACCAGGTGTGGATGTAGAAGCCCTAGAAAAAACAGATTTTTTAATTTCCAAGTCAGAAACATGTTCAGTAAGAATGCCCCAGAAAGATTCTGGAATACAAACACCAGCCGGAAAGCAATCTATATCAACAATATGAGTGGTGGGAGGATTGAATAAAGTTTGAAAATGACAGATAATTTCTTTAGTTGCATTTTCAGAGCATCCCCTATAAAGAGAGGAAACAAGATTAACCGCAGATCTGCTATTCCCTTGCCTGCTCTTGATCCTAGTGTATAAGAATTTGAGGTCATCCTCCCCATGCTTAAGCCATCTAGCCTTAGCCCTTTGAATAATCCAGGATGATAATATGCCAGTATAAGCTGCAATATTGTGGTTAACAGAAACAAGAGATGTGTTGAGGTGAGGGTCTATGGGATTTGTTTGGAGCTTCTCCAAAATAAGTTCTTGTTGTTTATTGAGATCCTCAATATGCCTGCTAATAGAATTCGAGCTAGCCCAATACTTCTTTTTAATTGCACATTTCAAATGCCTGAGGGAGCTGCAGAAAGAAACCAAAGGATTCCCAGAAATTTGATTAGAGAAAACAGACAAGAGTATCGACCAGTACCTTTCAAAATTAGTCCAGTAGTTCTTAAAATATTTTTTTACCATTTCTTCCCTTTTTAGGATTTTTTTTTATTCACTTTAGGTATTATTCTTCAGAAAAAAAATTTGAATAGTTTCCTGATTTATTATTTAACTTTAGTGAGAATACCAGCCAAAAATTTTCCCCACTGCTCTTCCTCAGTCTCTTCCGATTTTGGCTGAGCTCTGTACAGAATGTCCTTTTTCCTCCCATTTTATATTTTTATCTGTCCATTAAGCGAATATAGACAAATATCTCCATCACTGCCAAAGCACCATAACAGGCAAAGCTAAGAACCACCTCCGCGGCTCCGCCGCTTCCCACCGTTAATCTTGTCACTCACTTCGCCGCAGCAGTCTTCATATCAACTTTACCATCAGCCAAAACTATTCCAGAATTCGAAGCAATGAGTATTGCGCGGCGCTTATTAAGCTTTCCTCTCCCGTCACGGACCAAAGCCATCGCCGCCGTCGGAGGCAGCGGCGAGTGAAGAGATCGGAAGAGTGGTGGAGCGGAGATCGAAGAAAAGAGGGATTTTGAAGGCTTGAAGCGAGGAAGAGCGAAATGCTGGGCTCGGGCTTGAACCTCGTCACGACAGTCATAGGGTTTGGAATGAGCGCCACCTTCATCGTTTTTATCTGTGCTCGATTGATCTGCGGCCGGATCCGCTCCTCGGAATCTCGAGCCGCTGCCTTCGGCTTAGAGCACCGCTCTGATCTGTACACGGTGAGTAATTTCTTTCTTTCGCCTTGTCAAACCAATTGCTTGTGATGGTATAAAGTGGTAGAAGATTTAATCCCTTCTGAAACTTGTGCAATGGGTTTTGGGAGTGAAGTAGGTTCTATGTATCTGCTTCAATTTAAGAGAAAATCTTTTCTAAAAAGCTCAAGAGCTGCAGTAATGGCAATCTCAAACCAAAACTAGCATCATAGTTCCGTTGCATGGAATGGAATGGATCCACTAAAGTGGAAGAGAAGTTTGTTGGAAACTCCTTTTCTTTGTATTGATTTATTACTTAATTATGCCAGGGAATGGCGTGAAAAACTTTTTTTTTTTCTTATTTTATTTTGAATAAAAACACTTTTAACAGAATTTCTTCAGCTAAGTTGAAAGCTTCTCTCCATAAATGTCTGAAATTTTCTTTAAGACGACCAGGCACTAAGAATGTGGGAAGATTTCGTCTCTCTGCGTATTTGTATTATTTCTAGTACTTCAGCGCTTAGAAATGGGATTTACAACGAAACTAGTAAATCTTCGATTGTGAACAAATAGAGAACTTTGCTAATCCATCTCCGCTGGATTAGATCTGTTTGTTTGCTTGCACAATTATACCTTTGTTTGAAGCTGGTTGGGTGCTGAATGGTTCTATTTGACAATGCTTCTATTGATTTTCAGTTTCTGCTTTGATGGAAGAATGTTTTCTGTTTATTTTAAGGAAAACTATCACATATTTCATGAATGTTCTCAGTAAATGTCTTGAAATTATCTTTGAAAGCTCATAGACTTATAGCTCTATGGACTTCCCAGTCATTCTAGATTGTAAGCCATTCTTTCATGGATTTAAGTTACAGTATCCATACATGAACACCTACTCTTCCAGTTCCGGTCATGTTCTGTACAGAATGTATTTATGTTGAGATTTTAATGTGCAAATTTTGCTGGCAGGCAGAACATGCATTTCATGGTCTAGAGCCAGTTGAAGTCGCTGCAATCCCCACGGTGAAGTTCCGTCGCGAGGCTTTCCACTCCAAGGAAGATGCCCAGTGAGTGAAACTTTGTCCATCGATACTTTGTCTTCTACATATTTGTTAAGATGTACTCTCAACTTTATGAAACTAGATTAAGGCTTTTGTTTGGGACGGCTTTCTTACTTCTTCTTAAAGCAGCTTTTTAGTATAAAATTAAAATAATTTTGTACTTGAAAGCTTCTTTAAGAAGTAGAAAGAAAACTATCCCAATAGAACCCTAAGGCTTTCATTGGGACGGCTTTCTTACTGCTTCTTAAAGAAACTTTTTAGTATAAAAATATATTTTTTTGTACTAAAAAACTACTTTAAGAAGCGGTAAGAAAGCCGTCACAAACAAAACCTAAATTGCTTAATTTCTGTACTCATTTTTCACAACTACAATTGTTTAACACCCAAATTTTGTTTTTGTTAATCACATTCCTTATTTAAGAAAGAAGACTTATTGAAGGACCCCAAGCCATGCATGATGCATATAAGCAAATTGTTATTACTTAAGAACGCATGTCATTGATCGTATAATTATCAAACTTATCTGAAGAGATGTGTGGTTAAGCTAACGAGTTATCTTTTGTAGCAATTTTATAGAACACAATCTGTATTTCTTGCAGATTAAGGGCAGAATTTTTGTTTGAGTAGATAGGCAAAATCAGTATCATTTTACTATTGTAGGCACTGAGGAGCTTGTTCCTCCTGGCAACTTATACCTACCCTAGCTAATCTCTGATTTGCATATACCTTACATTCATCAAGATGCCTCGACAACCTTGAATAAAATGATCGGGAGCAGATTCATCTGGTTATAGCATTGCTGTGTGATAATCTTATGAAAAATGCATATATGGTGATGATATCACAATGGATAATTCTAGGGAAAATTTACTTATAACTGGAATATGACTTAGTTGCCCTGATTTAGAACTCCACACACATTATAATTTGAAATGCTCTGAGATTTAATATTGGATATTGGAAGAAATTGCCAAAATCTTATGTAGTAACCATTTTTTCATTTTGTTAATCTAAACTAAAAAATATTAAGTTATGGAGCCTAATTTTTTTCCCTCTCTAGTAGAGGTATTAGATTTGACTTATATTAAGAAAGGTAGAGGTAGACCTAAAAAGATTTGATTAGAAATATTATAAAAGATCTTTCTTTATTGATAACTTGACTTTTAACAGGACACAATGGAGAAAATATATCCATGTAGCCGACCCCATGTAGTGGGACAAAGGCTTGATAATGATGATGTTGTTGTTGTAGTAAATGCCCGTTGTAAAATTTAGTTGTGGGTCTTATATTTGTATCAGAAGAATTAGGTTTGTAATTCTTCGCAATTGAATCATAGTGAAATCTGCAATGTCGATGATAGGACGGAGCCATCAATTCAGTGAAACCATATAAAATTCTATATTTTTTGTGCATTGATGATTTTTCTTGTATAATTTTATGTTTTGATTTTCTTTTATGTTTTCTTTTCTTTTATGCTCTATATGTTTGAATAAATTTTGCCTATTTCCAACACAAAAAGCCATCAAAATGGTTGGCTTCAAGTAATAGGCTTCGTTTGGGACAGCTTTCTTACTGTTTTTTAAATTAACTTTTTAGTATTAATTTTTTAATTTTTGTATTAAAAATTTGCTTTAAGAAGCAGTAAGAAAGCCGTCCCAAACGAAATCTTAATCTAAAATAACTATGACCAAATTCTGTATACTGTGTTAACAAATTTATCAAATTTTTTGAATGGGACTATCTTTTTTCTAAATAATATGAGTTCTGCCTTGTGCATGTTGCACCTTCGGGATTCTTGTAAAGTCCTCATTAAGGCTTTATTTCGGACAGTTTTTTTTTCTGCTTCTTAAAGTAGTTTTTTAGTACAATAAATAAAATTTTTATACTAAAAAGTTGGTTTAAGAAGCAGTTAGATAGTCGTCCCAAACGAAGCCTAAGTTTGATTGAGCAACTACCTAAAAGAAAAGCTAGCATGTTTTTTTTTTTCTGAATTTGAATGTTTGAATTGATTTTATTCTCACTTTTTTTCTCAATCAGATGCTCCATATGCTTAGGGGAATATGAAGACAAAGAGATGCTGCGGATATTGCCGGCATGCCTTCATAACTTCCATCTAAATTGTATAGATGTATGGCTACAGAAGCAATCGACATGCCCAATCTGTCGTTTGCCATTAAATGTTATTCACGAACAAAGCTTGGCATCTCCTTTTGCCAGATCCCAACAAGCTCATGGAGATGAGCTTGGCAATGATCATTCTAATTCTTGGCTTCTACCTACCTATCAACATACAGGAAGCAGTGGCAATAACTTGGAAATGGATGAAACTATTTCCATAGTTGTTGGAGTTGCAGATGGAGACCATGAGAGTGGTGCTTAGTGCATCAGAGTCACACCTGCATTCACGAAGCGCAGGAAGTTGTCTTCCTGTTTGTTTGGGCCGGCTTTTTTACTGCTTCTTAAAGTAGCATTTGAGCACAAAAATTTTATCTTTTGTACTTAAAAACTGATTCAAGAAGCAGTAAGAAAGTCATCCCAAACGAAGCCTTCATCTTGGATCCATAGAGATGACGGTATCACTCTACAATAACTTGAATGCCTCTTGATCTTTTGAACTTCCAATACAACACAATTGTTCAATTTTGGGAATTTCTAGGTAACTATGAACTGATTGGGTATGAGATCTGGATGCCTATTTCTGCTTCTTCTCTTTTGATTTTGTAATTGATTGTTCTAGAGAGGATGCCATGATGAGCTCTTTGAGGAAACTTGTTTAGAGGGAGATCACTTTCTTTGCATTGTTAATTGTCATTTTTTAATGCATTGATATAGATACTGGACATGGATATATTGAATTGAATTTGGATGTGTGTTCATGCTTGCGACGCAGCTCAGCTCAACCATTAGTTGGGAGCTTTGACTATAAATCAAGAGTCCTGAGTTCGAAACTTGCATATATGTCCCATATCTTTTTTAATTTATTGTTATTTTTAATTGGGAATGTCAATTGCATGGCCAAACATATATCGTGAGTGTTATGTCCTACATATGTCATAAACTATATATATATTGATGTTGTATGTTGTTGCACACAGTCCTCAACATGCTGGCAAGTTTTTGTTTAATCAAATATTGCTTATAATTACACGACTTATTATTTGACTTGAATTTGTCTTAAAGCTCGGACATCATTTTTCATCTCCACATTCAATGGCGAAGCAAGAAATTTTTTTCGATAAATTTTTCTCAATGCTTTTCGTTCAGGCTTGGGACCGACACATGCAAACTTACAGTTTATAAGGTTTGTTGTTCTTATTTTGAAAGAGTTCAATGATTACCTCTTTATTAATATAATTTAATATTTCTTTCTCAATGTAAGTGATTAATATACCATTCAACCATTAATCTTTAATTCTATTCCATAGTTGGTTTATTATAATATTCATAGCAGAAAAGAATCCTATTCTTTTGACTATTACTATTATAAATGATAATATTAATGTCAATTTCAATAACCTGAAAACAAGAGGATATAGAATATCTTTTATGATTTTGATCATTTTTTTAACAAATCTTTCTATACCTTTTAATAAAGAAAATTGTTCATTAGATCGCATATATATCCCTAATCTAAATGCCCAATTGATTTTCAAAAATTGTTTGATCAAAAGGACTAAAATCAGTTTGATAAAATTGTTTTGTTCTTACCAACTTGATTTTATTGAATGCATAATATATTATTCGGATTCAAACATGCAATAGATAAAAATAACTCAGTATATGCTTTTGTAGAATGATTATTCAACTTTTGAAGTTGTATTTCAATTACTGCGTAAAAAAATTTAACTCGAAAATGATATAAATTTATTATATTTTGAGCTCTACGATGAGAATGTCCACGAGCAACCCATTTATCATCAATATGTGAAACATTTATTTTTTTATCCTTAAAAAATAAAATTATTTTGATGATAAAGTCTACTCACTTAATATCTCGCATATCTTGTAGTCTCATTTTAAATATCTTTTTTATGAAAGAAAATATTCAACAACATTAAATAAGTATGAAGATTTTTGAGCTCAATGTAAGATTTACGTTTCATCAATGAAATATTCTTTTTCATCTATACCAAATAAATTATTATCATTTTTTACTAAAAAAAATAATAAGAATTTATTTCTTGTTATTCAGCATAAACTCAAATTAGAAGACTCATTACTTCTCAAAGAACTTAGAACTTCTCTGTTACCTTTCCTATATTTCAATATCCCAAACCTGAAACTGGCCATCAAACTGGTCTTTAAAACAATGGAGAAGATGTAGAAATAGAGAAATGATGAATATCACTTACATATAAGGTTCTGAAAATCGGATCGGACAACGAATCGAAAGAATGAAGATTTACAGTTTCGAATCGGGATTGAACCGGATGATATAATAAATAATAATATTATTATAAATATTTAATAAAATTAACAAAATAAAGAAAGATAATAATCATATAATTTAATGT